ACCGTATGTAGGCTGCCTCCAGGTAGTGAAAAGTACGAGTTGTTCGTTCCCGAACAAGTACTCGGAAAGAAGTTTTGGGATCTACAGAATGGCCCGCATCTAGTAAATGTTCACTAATCGATTTTCTGGTTTCAATAACCAAGTAGGGGAGTGCTCCTTGGCTCTGGCTGCCAATTGCCCTTGCGTTCGCCCAATGCACTTGCATCCGCAACCGCATATAAATTCATAAACACAGTTTTAAGTGGCGTGCAACGGCTTGGCATCCTTCGCACAAGGAATTGGTAAGGGCTTAGTTAGATTGCAAAGTATGAGTTCAGCAGCATAGTTGGCGTCTCTTTATGGTATTTAAAATGCTGTCGCCCTTAAAGGTTTAAATTAATCAAAGCACATGCTTGGGACCCTGAGCACAGCAGAGTTTGCCTTGGTTTCCACCCTCTCAACTCTATTAATTAGGCTGTGTCCGTTCCCTCTGGGTCCGGACTATGATACTGCTGCAGTATCGTAGTCCGTATTGGTGGATTTCATACAAGCGGTAAAGTTGAGCGGGTAATATCGACCTAGCTGTGACTAAATTCGTGACGCGAGGTGGGGCGTTTGTAGCTCAAGTGTTTAGAACGTTGGCCTCCGATAAAGGCCTTCTCTACTAGGCGAATTTAAATCTCGTCGAACGCCTTGAGTTTTTTCACAACCGGGTCTACGCAAATTAAGCAAATCAGCCAAACCTCCTAATAATTAAGTCAGCCTAGTAGTCATTCTGGTGGATTCTAGTGCTTGCTTAGAAATCCTGTTTGGACAGTCAACTTGCTGTTCCGTATTGGTGAATTCCATATGGGTGGTAAAGTTGGGCGGGTAATATTGACCCAAGTATGATTAAATTCATGGCGCGAGGAGGGACATTTGTAGCTCAACTGGAAGAGCTACTGGCTTCGCGTAAAGGCCTTCTCTACTACGCGGGTTCAAATCCCACCGAACACCTCCAGTTTTTTTCCCAATTGGGTCAACGCAAATTAAGCAAATCGGCCAAACCTCTTAAGAATTACAAGCGAGACAATAAGATTGTTGGAAGAGGACGCTGTTCTCTCTTACCGGCAGCAACATAGAGGTGATTTCCATCTTCGCCCTCGCGAATGATATAACAGCCCTCCTTGATACTGTATTCGTACATGCAGGATACGATTTCCTGCAGCTGAACGGCATCCAAGTTCTTCAGGTATTCATTGTTGCGAAGGGCATTTCGGATCTCTTGCCGTGACCTACAAATAAAAAGGGGATGGGGATGGATTGAATGCTCGTGAGCTGACAGAAAGCTAATAAGATCTCCCACATGGAGGAATGCTGTCCATTTCAAGCCTAACTATTTACTGGCCACCGAG